GTACTCATGGTTATGGCACATATTTGTGTCACCTTTATTTTTGAGAGAAACTTTCTTGCTAACCCATTTCGGAAGTAGCTCAGGCTCATCTTGAAAATCATTTACTTTAATTTCATTTAATTTGCATGCATTACGTTTTCTTTGAGGATTCCAACGTATTATTCTAAAACATTTGGGATAATATTTTTTTATTTGTTATATCAAGACTGTGCAACTTTGTTATTAGAAGCTTCTGTTTTCATCAACCACGCGAAAGGTTGTACTTATTCACACAAATCTCGAATGCAATAATTTTATCCTAAGTCCAACCACAGTCCTTTCTTTTTTTCAAAATTTTCAGTTTCTGTAGAGATTTTGCTCACAGTATTTGAATAGAACTCTTGTAAATCAGTTGATAATAAAACAGACGTGTTTTTAGTTTTAAGACACTTTTCTTCACGTACAATTTTATCATTCGTAACTTTCTTATATAAACATGTTGACTTACAATTAACTTTCATATCTTGATTTTGAACTACTGTTGATATCACATCATTTATCTTTTCTTGCTTAGACAAGAGAAATTCTTTCAGATCCAAATAATTAGTATCATTCGTTAAATATAATGTCTTTACTCTACCGCTCAAAGCTGATTTAAATTTTAAGTTGACTCAAGATATTTATTTAGCAGGGGAATTGCTTGTAAAGAATGTATCTATCAGTAATTAGTGAAAGAGTTCCGGCTGTTATCTTGTTCATATGAACGTTATCCGTTTCATGCTTCATTTTGCTTGAGTTAGTAATAGGTTTTATCTTGTTTATGTGCCTTCTTACTCAAAGAAAGGGAAAAATGATTTATTACTTTGAAAATATATTATATTTGTTGAAATTAATTAAACTCATTAAAATAATCATCTTTATGTTAATAAATCCTGTTCGAGTAAGTGAAATTGCAAGATGTGGAGTCAATTATTATAAATTCAAATGAAGAAATATACAGGTTTCACACTAGCAGATGTGATATGTACATAACATAATTACATAACATAAGAAAATTACATAATATGTTTAACACTTATCACCGGAGCAGTGAAGACAACCCCAATTATAGCTCTACAATACTATACTTCTAATCCACCAATTATCACTGAAATTAAAATACAAGCAGTTGGCACTTATGTTAAAATGAAATCCTCTCATAGAGCGCAATGGATGAATGAATCAAAACAAAGTTACACGAAGACCCAGATTTCTCCTCTAGACGTATGTGAAAAATTACTGCCTGATTTCTAAGAAGATGAGTCAATTATATGTAACAAGAACATAACAAATGTAACAAGAACATAACAAACCCTCTCAAACTTTTATAGATGTCAGGCATCAACTAGATATCAATGATTTGGGTGAGAAAAAACATACCTGACACAGTACTAAGAATAAATGCGTTATGCATGCTCCAAGAACTATACCCTGAACCAGAATGGACGAGAGTTTACACTGACGGCTCAAAAATACAAGACAGCAGAGGAGCAGTACACATTAAGCTCTTTTCTCACAGCTCCCCTGTGGGATACTATATGTCAAATTTTGATGCAGGGATCTTCGCTATATCGCTAGCCCTGGAAAACCTTAAGAATAAGATCAATTACTTCACCAAAGCAGTAACTCTTGTCGACTCTAAGGCAGCTATCCAGGCAGTTGCCATAAACCATGATTCAGATACTCAGACTGTTTCAGAAATTAGAGATAATTTGATTTTTCTCGAGAATGCCGACAAAACTATTATGATCCAGTGGATCCCTTTGCATGTGGGAATCAATGGCAATGAAAAGGCAGACCAACTAGCCAAGAAAGGGACACTCGACTATGACCGACCTAAAGCGCAACCAAGCAGTAAAATCCACCGGAAAACCCTGGGCTAACATCCAGAACTCAGACCACTAGCTTGTATGCCCTTAACAAGACAAACAATCTCAAGAGCGGGGTGGTCTCTGTAAACTTTACTGGGATGCCAGAAATCACACACAAAGACTACTCCTCATTCTTCCCTGTACATATTTTTTTTACTTTAATTTTATCTTTGTGTTAATATGCATTTGTCATTTGTTTTCCTTGTTTATGTTCACTTAAAGCTGAACATTGCATGTGGATTAATATTTCCAATAAAGCCATATGTAAAAACATTATTCATTGTGTTAGCTTATTTGAGGAGAAACTAGCTCCCCTGAAAAGATATTCACTCTTTTGTTTACATTCCATAAGTTTTTTTTATTATTATTATTAATGCTGATGATACATTTTACATCAGGGCTTTCGTTCAGAAGTTCATTAATAAATTATCGTAAATTAATGTAGTTAAAAGTAATTTCGTTTATGTTAGAATAATTACATAGAAGAAGAAAAAAAGACTACTAAAATTGAAAATTTTTTTCTATTGAATTCATTAATACGAAATTAACAAATGATAAAAATACATAAGATACGAATATGATAAAAAATTCACAAACATAGTTAAAAAAGAATCATAGTAGAAATAGGGATTTAAATTAAAGAATTTTTCGTGGTCTCTCTTACACGCAAACCTTCACTTCGCATAGATGTATTTCCCATGGAAAATAGTGGATGCAATATATAATATCAAATTCATCTTCACTTTCCTCTCCTCCTCAAAACTTTAGTCATATGCTATATTTTTCTTAACACATAGATTGTGCAAAATGGCACAGGCGTTGATGATTTTACTTGCTGTTGTGGGTTCAAAGTGTTGCACCCTGTGCTTAAAAAGACCTCGAAACCGTAATTTCAATAAGCCATTGCACCGTTCAACACAGTTTCTAGCTGTTGAATGAACCTTCTTAAAATTTTCTTCAGCACTATTTGGATTCGGATCATGGTAAGGAGTTATAAGCCATGACTCCTAGGGATAGCCAATATCGCCTGAAAAAAAAAATAAACGAGAAATCAAAATATAGAAAGATTTAACTCTTTCTTTGAGGTCAAGATTTTTTTAAAAGTAAAACACCAGGATCAATAAAATTATTTTAGTTTGGAACTAGTAGAATAATTTATTTAAATGATTTTTTTACATTATTGCCACAAAATATGTGGTTAGAATTGAAAACCACAGTCCTTCATAGAGTTAACAACATAGTCATTTTTTTTACCCACCTAAAGCGCAACCAAGCAGTGAAATCCACCGGAAAACCCTGGGCTAACATCCTAAACAGTTAGAAGAAATTTTGTCACAGTCCTCGTAAGAAGGCTGTGGCAAACTTCAGACTCTCAACAGGCCACGACTGCTTGGCAGAGCACCTCAACAGAATGAGCCTCCTTCCATCTAGTGAGTGCATTCTAGTGATTTTGCTGAGTCAATTGTATTGGCGTGCTGCGTTCTACACAATTACTTTAGACGCAAAGATGGCTTCAGGGAGGAAGAAACTTATTATCAAGCACCATTTGAAAGTGTTGATGGCACATGGCAAGTTCCTCGGGCATGTAACTACGCAAGAACTGTGAGGGACAAGTTTACGCAGTACTTCGTTACGGACGTGAAACTCCCTTGGCAAGACCGCATGGTGTAAGCGTTTATGTGAAATATACACTGCTGATAACATTAGTGTATAAGATGTTGTGAACACAAAACACTGACTTATTTCATAAGTGCACTCTAGTGCATTTGTATTACAAATATGTGGTACTTGTATAAAGACATACTGCCTTAATTTTATTAATTTAACGTATTACAATTTGAATAAATGTATCATTAATTAATACTAATTATGCTTTGTGTGAAGTTCTGGCANTATTACTCCTGGTTTTATTCTTTAATTAATTATGGTGCAATAATATATGGCGGTGAATATAAAACTAATTTACTTCCTTTAATCTCAGTTCAGAATAAATGCTTCAAGATTATTAATTCTCTAAATATAAATAATTCAAGTGTAACTACTACCAATATATATACAAGAATTAACCTATTACCATTTCGCCATAATGTATTTTTTCGTATTTTACTCTATTTACACAACAATAAATTAATATGCAAATTAAAAACTAATGTGTCTGAAAGGAGACCAACTGAAATGTATGAGATTCCCTTCTTTACAAAAGAAATTTCACGAAAACAGTTTTTTTACTTAGCACCTAAATTATATAATAAATTACCATTTCAGTTGCAAAACATCAAAATATATTCTTCTTTTAAGCGTGCTTTATTTCAATTTGTGATGAACATTGACGATTTAGATCTCTATTTTTCACTTTAAAGGAAGCATTTGATTTTTTATACCAGTCTTGTGCCAATCCAAATGAATTTGTTATGTTACCTTTGTTATTTTTTTATATAGTTTCATGCATTTTTTTTTTTTTTGTTTTCTATTATTACAGTGTTCAACAATATATGACTTCTTATGATGAACAAAATAATTTGTGATTGTAATAACCCCCTTTTTTTTAATTTCTATTTTAAATTTATTGTATTACTTTTCTTTGTCGCCATTACTGGAAGCACAATGATATAATGCAGCAAATACATTTTGCTGCATATTTTTTATATCACCAACATTGCTTCTTATAGCTATTCCATAATAGTTCTGTAACCGATCAATAAATGTATCGGTTAACTTTCCTTTTCCAATACTCCAATGCTTCTTATAGCTATTCCATAATAGTTCTGTAACCGATCAATAAATGCAACGGTTAACTTTCCTTTTCCAGATAAACCTTTCACCTTTTTTTTCAACTTTCGCAGTCTTGTTCCAACACGCTGTTGGACATGGCCAATGCATTCAAGATTTCTTGTTCATCTTTTTTTTTGTCACTGTAAACATTTTTTACTTTTTCAAACTCTTTCGAATCACCATCACCAAAGTATTTGTCATAAATAAGTCCACGGCGTTCAATAGATCTCGTGAAAATTCTGGAAGCCCCTATCACTTCCATATATGAGGCAGTTCCTACATAATTGCAGCGGCAAATATGCTTTGCACTGACTTGATCGACACTTGATTTAATTGTGGACTCCTGTGCAGCCTGCTTCAACGAAGCTTGTAAGCTGATTCAACGAAGCTTAACCCATAAACATCTTTTATTAAACGAAACTGCACCTGAATGTTCTCATTGTAGAGAACAGCTCACTATTAAACATATTTTAACAAAGTGTAACGAATTTAAAACACAGAGACAACGCCACTTTGGTTGCTTTAATCCAACATTGACTTTATTAATTGGAGATAAACCCCACAATAACATTTTTAATTACCTAAGGGACATTGGTTTTTACAAATCAATTTAGCTTTAACTTATAGCAGAATGTTTCTGCTATAAGTTAACTTATAGCAGAATGTTTCGGCCAAAAATGGCTTTTGCGCCAATAATACTTAATTAACTAACTAACTCAACGAAGCTTGTGCAACAGATGAAACAGCTTTCAACAGTTTTACTTTGTTTTTATTAAATGCAGATCTTGCAAGTGGTGGAGGTGAATTTAAAGTTGCACAAAACAATTTTGCACCAGAATATCCTTTAACTATCTGTCTCATGCCATATACAAATCTCATATTAATTTCGGAAGTGTTATTTATTTTAGGAGATGAAGAAAATCCTTCAGTAAACTTACACTTATGGCACTTATGAAACGAGATTACTGCACAATCCATATTTTGAATCCTCTTCAAAAATAAACCCCAAATTTGAACGCTGAGGACATGCTAGTTTGTTGAATACCAATGACAGCATTGATAGGTCAAATATTCTGTTACCAGAAAAATCCTCCTTTCCATCGGAATCATTATTATTCACTAATGAATCATTTAATTTTGATGAACTGGCCATACTAGAGTTCATCATACTATCATTAGTATGACGATTGCCGTAAAACTGCCGCTTCCTCTTACGGGCAATTGACTTCCTCGTTATTAATTTTAAAATTATGTAAACAAAAACAAAGCTTAACAAAACTTATTAATAATAAATAAAAAAAACAATAGCATATTTAACAAGATAATAACAATTAGCAAATTAATAATTATAAATTGAAGATCTAAACAAAGCGCTATCACAAGTATCAAAGATAAACAAGGATCTGATTCATTGATTATTGTTTCGTTGCCAGGTTAAAAACTTATAAATATTTAAGAAAAACATTGCCAGTTCAAAAAAAAGTAATAAAAAAACTGCCCTAAAGTTAAATATTCAAATATACGTAAGTAATCAAAACGAAACTAGCAGAAATCAAAACAAAACTAGGTAAAATCATTCATTTCCTGTGTAAGAAAGTGACTTCCGGTTTCACAATTTCTAAGGAGATGTTTCGTTAAAATACGATAACTCGGAGTATATTAAAGCTAAAAACAAAATTTAAACAGATTTAGAAAGCTGGATGTTTAAAGCATAATAAAGTGTTAAAACCAAAAAATCGATAATTTGTTCGATTTTTATGAAACATGATTTTCAGTAAAACATTATTATTAAATTGTCTTTAGAAATTAGTTAAAAAAATAATTTCCATACATAGGTTGTATAACATTGATTTAATTACAGAAATAAACTCAAAAATATTGTAGAAAATACATTATTAAAACAAAACAAGTGATAGTAAAATTTTACTCACCATCTACGCTGAGCTGTTCTGCAATTTTGATCCAAGTTTGTTTTTCTTTCTCTGCATCTCTGAAGTCTGCACGGCTGTAATCATACAACCATAGGCTGTTTCTAACTAGGTCAATTAATTTTTCTTTCATTTTTCCCAATAATGAAATAAAAAAGTTTTAAAATCAAACTCTTGAACTCGAAGCAATGGCAACAGGAGAAACGGCATTGTGCGCCTGCGCGCAACTTTGGCAACAGGATTCCCGTTGCCCTCGGTGGAGACCCAGCTTAAGTCCCTTTGTCCGCCACTCCTTCACTTTGTTTCGAAGTCCAGTGCCAACTCTTTTCGCTCCATGATTTAAAGCCATATCACACGTGCAGAAATTCACCCAACTCAACACGCAACGCAACAGCAAGATAAACTTTTCATCCAACATTCAGTCGGAAAAAGTTGTTCTAGGGTTGCCAAAGTTCATGAAAATGTTTATCGTAAACGCGCCGATACCTTCCTTCTATCCCGGCTATTTAGCGCCCCTACAGTCGATCTATGATTCTTCATAGGTGAAAATCAGTATTCTTTACCTGGCGATTGTTGTCTGTGTATTATTTTACAATGGATCTCGCATATTTATCAATTCCAGCCTTAGTAATTTATGGATCGATAATTAAAGAAAAAGAGAAGAGAAAGAAATGTTGGGCAAGAAAATGGCTTCTAAGAACAAAACGGCTGGGTTGTTATGAAAATCTGCTGAGAGAACTGGCTCTTGAAGTAAGAATATTTTTGTTTTTTATTTAAATCATAGCACTTGCTTTTTTAAATTATTAAAAATCGTTCTGTTTCTTAATTTTATAATAACTACGTGTTATTGATTAGGAAATTCACTTAGTTAAGTGTTGTATAGTAAACGAAATACAAAATGTTCATTTTGAAATCTGAATTAAACCTCTTTTATACTTGAATTGAAAATAATTTTAATGAGCTTTTGTTTGCATTTAGTTATAATTATTCATGAATTTTATTTGTACCGTTCTGAATATTGAACGATCAGTAATAACTCTGTACTATTCCAAATTAATAATGATTTTTTACATGTATTTTGCTTTAATATATTTTATCACAGTAAACAAATTTCGCGATAAAATTTTTAAGTATTGTAATGTTGTCTTCGTTTTTAAATCATAATAAGAAAATTATTAACTGTTGATTTTCCGACAAAACAAATTATTTATATGGATATTGAAATGTTTCAGAAGTTCAATAAAATAGAAAAGGAAATATTTATTAGCATAGTTATGTTTTAAATATTTTTGTATCTGTATTTTGTATATTTTTAAAACTAAAAAGTGGCTTCCCGTTGCTAACAGGCTGATGATGGTGATGGGAGTAGCATAGTAACCATATTGATTTTTTTT